TAACAGATCCAAAACAAGTCCATAGTATTGTGTTATAAACGAGGAGAACTGCAGGCCACGTATGATGCCATAGCTGTTCGTATGATTCATGTCCTTGTAGTTGATGACCACGTTGTTCTTGGCCGTCATGTAATCGGCAATGTTGTGATCCACAATGAGACGCAGCAGACGATTGAGCAGAGTCAGATCAATTTTCTCGTAGAGCTTCTCAAAGCGCGACTCGAGCAGCACATTGCATTCGCCCTCACCCACGTCCCACACATCTTGCAGATTGTTGATGCCTGTGAAGGAAGTGGATCTATCAAACTAGGATTCTCCTTGGTAGTTCTCGTGGCAATTGGTTTACACATGAATCTTTATATTGCTGGTTAAATGCGCCACCTTTGGCGTGAGGTTTGCAACAAGGGGATGGAATCCAAGCTCATCACTTTGCCACAAATCACACGCCCAAAATGCGCAGATATATTACACACTCTGGACATGATCTGTGCATAAATCACGCTCCGTTACCTTGACACCACTTGTAGGCCAACAGCGGCGGTGGTTCCGTGTCGCTGGGCTTGATCCATGGCGGAAACAGACGTCGCTTGTCTGCCTCATACCACAGATACTGATCCAAATAGGCATCTGTGATCTTTTCCAGTGGCTCCACTTCGTAGACGGGTATTAGGTGGCTATACAAGTCCATGAACTCAATGCCCACCTGATAGAAGAAGAGGAGCAATGAAAAACCTAGCCACATTCAAACAATTTAGAATAGTCTCACCTCCTTAAAGGCGCGCTGCGTCAGCAGATGACGCTTGATACGGGACAGCGCCTCGTGCGGATTGTCGTAGGCCTGTTCGATCAGACCCAGTTCCTCACGCTGGCTTTGGTTCAAACGCGACTTGACGCTGTATGCCTCCTTCAGACGTTCCAAGGCCAAAATCAGCAGCTTGGTGTCATGCTTGTAGGAGAGCGGCGGAAAGGGTATCGGTGCAAAGCGACGCGACTCCAGCCAATGCACTGTTGTGGTGTATATGGCCACCGCCTCCTCGGGCGATATATAGGGGCCATCCTTGAGGTAGTTATGCTGTCGCTCCTGCTCCGCCTTCAAATACAGACGCGTCAAACGACCCAAATTCTTTTTGCACACAGTCTTGTCCACGGTGGCACCACGTCGTATACGCTCTCGATTGTAGTGCGCCGTGTTTGTCCACCAGTCGGCCTTCATTTTGACATAGCGCAGAATCATATTCTCTATGGGTATGGGCAGACCGGGCACCTTCCACGGTATATTGGCCTTCCAGCAGCGCCAGGCCTCTGACAAATGCTGGAGTATGGTACGCGCCTTGTTTTGCTTAATGCCCTCGGGCATCATGTCCACAATATCGTGCATAACCGAGGCACGCAGCTCCAAATCGAAATGGGATTCGACACGTTGTTTGGTCACCGTTTTGGCCACGCCCTTGGAATGACGACCCTCGAATTGACGTGACAACAAGTTGCCCAGCCAACGTTCCAGCAGTGGAGTTATGCCACGCATAAAGAACAACCAAACACGCCAGCCAGGTGCCCAGAAGCCACAGCCCGGACCCTTGCCGACGGGTCCCGTATTGAAGCGATAGTAGATTAGATGCTTCAAGTCCTTGCACATGCGTATCTGTCGCATCAGCTTGTACTTGTAGCGATACATGCCCGTCAGTTGGCCCACATGCGCAAAGATATACTGTAGACCATCAGCTAGCTGAAAGGCGTCCACATTATTGAGACGATACTGTACATGCGAGTCGATGATCAGTTTGGTTAGACGTAGAATCTCGCGGCACAAATGGAAAGCTGTAAAAGAGACCAAGAGTTGAGTGATTGGGTGTGGACACATTGGATGTGGTCAGTTACCATTGCCGAAACGTGACTTTTTACGCTCCTTGGTAGTCAGCGTCTTGACCGGCTTCAAGTTGAAATTATAGTCCAAATGCAGGTAGTTCAGATTCTTACGATGAATAAGCAGATTAAGCATATTATAGCCCTGACGACACACTTGCAAACCGGCCTCCACCCAGTCCAGTGTGGTGGTCTGGAAAAACTTGGTCGCCTTGAATGAACGGAACAAATAGCTGAAAAAAAAAACAAACATGTAAAAAACAAATAATCAGATATAATTCAACATAGCTTTTTAATCATTTGGCTAACCCACCGCTTCTTTTGTGGCTTCGGTTTGCGATGTTTCAGAGCATTGAGCACATAATATTTCAACAGCTTCTGATAGCTGACGCGCACCTTGACCGGGTGACCAGGTGGGCAATGCTCCTTGTACCAGCACTTGACCAGCGGCACATCGATGGCACGACGGGAGCGACCCGAACGCATATTAAACGGACGCGGTGCCCATAACAACGCAATGCCATTGGCTGTATTATCTGTATAGAGTGGCGTATCCTGGAGAAAAGGCTGCACATCATCGGGCAGCGTAAAGTCCTCGTCGTCTTCAGGCATAGGTTCTTGTATTTTAGAATTAGCATTGCGATGTGAAATGGGATTGATAAGTGGATCAAAGTAAAAGGCAGGCAAGTCAGGATCTTCGGTCTTGATGTAGACCACGTTGGGCGTATGGTACCTAGAGAGAAACCATATAAATAAATTAGCCGTATTTCTTAAAAAAAAAGTCTTGGCTTTATCGACTAACTAATCTTAAAAACTATGTGTGTATGCAACTATCAGCAGTCCAGATTTAAGTTCCACAATCGGAACGAACATTCACATTGCAAAACCCAGGAATCAATCGCTAAATTGGTAGTAAATCGGGCCTTATTGTTTGATCTAACATGGCATGAAGCGTTACCAGTATATGCGTACAACTGGGAACTCTACGGCCATGTAAATATATCTAACTACATATACAATCGTAAAGATAAGTTCGTTTACCAGCTCAGATGCACAAAATGCGGCATATTGTTGTACAGGTATGGAAACGCAATACGATACTCGGTGCGTATGGGCTGCCTTATTATAACCTTGTTTATATCATTGAACTCATTCCAGTCCTCGTCACTGCGTGAGAAAAGAAATGCAATTAAAACTAGTTCTTAACTTATATTCACTTCATTCACTTACCCAACATTATGATCCTTAATAAGCGGCTCAAACTTTGGGCCACCGGGTATGGCCATGTTCAGTGCTTTGGCTGTGAAGAAGCTCTTTGGATCGAATAGATAAAAGAAATTATTGTCGACCAAGTCGGTGAGCAGCTGATTGGCCAGACGGTAAAGCGTTGCCAGCTGGGGCAGGGAAAGATTCCACTTGCGATAAGTAGAGCCATTCACAAACCTAACAGAGAGCAGGATTATAAAGGATATTGGTTTATATATATGGATATGCTTACGGCGTATCGACTAGTGGTCGATGATCATAGAACCATTTGTAGACAGCATTATCTTCATCGTTGTCCAGCTCAATTTGTATGGCCTCCAGCGGCTCCACATCCAAAACGTTGTCCGCATAGTCCAGCGGCGGCTCCTCATCGTCGAATGGCGGAAAACGCATACGCTTAAAGTGGCGACGGTCGCGTTTCTCACGACGCATCATAATCCACATGGTGCTGCCAAATGTACCCTGATATTTAGCTTAGATATAAAGAGTACCTTAATTGGAACTTACCCCCACTGCGCAATGTAAACCGGCTCGATGACCCAGGGTATCTCATTGACAAAGGTAATGGCGCCCGTTATGTGGTAGAGCACCTGCACATCCCTTATCTGCTCCCACGGCATGGGCATGTTCTCGAGCAGCTTAAGCACTGCATGTGGCATGTATTTGAGTGCGCCCAGATAGACACGCTTGTCGTGGCGATATTTGCGTGAGGTCATGTCACCATGATCACGTATAATCTTGCGTATATGCTCTGGCGGCATGTCCTCTTTCTGTGTGTCAATAAAACCGAATTTGCGTTTCTCGGCAAAACGTTTCGACTGCAAGTGCTGCCACTTAAGCGCCTTCTCCTGCAGTTTCTCCTCGGTGAGAATATCTGGTTTTGGTGTGGGTATTTGTCCCAGCTGTGGCTGGGGCACGCCCACTGCCGGCACCGGTATGCCATTGGCGTGTCCCGACGGCGGCAATGGGGCACCCGGTGGTGGTATTTGCTGTATCTGGTTGGCCATCTGCTGCTGCGCATGCAGCTGGGCCTGCTGTGCATGGGCCGCCGCGTACGCCTGCTGCTGGGCCATCAACTGGGCGGCCCAGGCATTTGGCGGAATCATATACGGCGGTATAGACATCGCTCAATTGCATGCGACACTATCAATCAATAAATGGATATATATATAAAGACATACAATAAAAACAAACCACACACACGTTTCGTTTACGCCGAACAGAAAGAAGAAGATGCAAAGGCAGAAGCAGCGGCAGCGGCAGACGTTCGCTGCCGTCGCCGCGTTTTGCAATTTTCACCACAGCCCTTTTAGCGCAAACATCAAGTGCCACACACAAAATTAACTATTTAAAACATACATGGAGAATACGGGTGCTAAATAATTACCTATTCAAACAATTTCAAGCACTTTTTCGTGGATTTTAAACAATTTTCCGGTTTCTCTTGCAAAACGTTTACGATGCGGCAGACATTTTTCAGAGATGACCCGATATAATTTGCAAGCCAACATCGATAGGCGATAGATCGATTTAGCTCAAGTAAAAAAGTAATCGATATTTAAACGTTAAGTAAACGTACTTGGAATTGTTTTCAAATCATATAATAATATTTCAAGAAATCCCCAAGCATGTTCTAATTGTAATAATGAAATCAATAAGCTGGTCAACAGCTTCAAAACGTATTTTGTGCACTATTTACCCTACTCATTATGAACTTTTTTTTCACAAAATGCGTCAGCGTATTTACTTACTGACGAATGTCAGGAATTTTTGATGTCAAACGGAAAACATGTTTCGATATTGAACTATATATAATTGATTTACTTTAATTCTCTAATTAGCTCTGAAACAGTGCACACGCTGTGTGCAAAATTTGACCCTGACACATGAATACAAATATTATACCCAATTTCCACACGGTTAACGACTTCTCCAGATCTTCTCCTATGTTTGGCCAATCAATGATCATGTGCAAAATCAATCTCTGGCATATTTTGCGCACTATATAAGAACTTGGCTAGATGGCACAGAATCACAGTTTAGCAATAACCGAGCTTCTAGGCAGAGCCAAACTCAGCGAAAGGCGTTAATTTGCTAAGAAAAAAAAATCTATTGCGAGATTTCACAAACAATATTAACGATGGCAAAGGTACAAAAAATCAACAACAACAACAAAAATCAGTCAATTATTTAACTATGCACTAATTCCAGCTCTTGATAGGCTTTATTTGCCTGACAGCTCTAATTTGCATGCTGGCAACTGTAAAAGCAGCTCCTGCACAGGTATTTAAACAATAATTCAAATATTTTCTATAAATAATTCGAATTGTATTTGGCTTAAAAGAGCTTGGACGACGACCTCTCTACGGCGGACAGCATAGGCGTTGGCTACTATGTGCCATCCTATTACAGTCCATATTACGGCAGAAGCAGCTATGGCTACGGCGGATTTGGCGGTTACGGCTACGGTGGCTACAGAGGTTACGGCAGCTACTATCGTCGCCCCATTTATCCGGTCTGGGGCTGAGCATGAGACGCAATAGAGCCTAGATAGTAGTTCATACACATACATCTATATATACATATATATATATCGCACTTTAAGTCTTGTAAAACTAACAACAATATTTTAGCTAAAAATTTAGCCGTTTTTCTCTTAGTATTCTAGCTCTATGTTTACATTAAGGAAAAGAGTTTACTTAAACACAATGTATTTTCTTTTTCTTTTCTCGAGACCCATTCCGTCCAGTTGCTGCTCCTTTCACTCGACTACTGTGTCATCCAAAACAAGTTCAGTCGGTTTTGATTTTTACCTACACAAAATGACGTCACAAATGCCTTTGACCCCACGACAATTAACAACGCGCCACACACAAAAAATTACATTTTTTTTGGAATTTTTTTTTGCTCTGTTTAAGCTGGAGAACCGGATTGCACGACTTTAAAAAGCGCTTCCGAAGAAGTTGCAGCAATAAATTTTGTGGCTAGCTGCCGGCAACGTAACATAAATTGCAAAAGGGAAATTTCGGCCAAGCGAATTACCCGTAGACGGCGCTGAACCCGCGACCCGCGACCCGCACAAGCTCAAAGTTTGAGCTACATATAAAAAAAAAAAAAAAAGAAGAGTTTTACAAAATAATAAAACAATTAAGTACAATTTTGTGGCATCGAAATGTTTGCGTTTTAGTCTATGCAAAAAATTAAGTTAGGTTTTTGTTTTTGGAGGCTGTAAAGCGGCCTCTAGTGGTGCCGGCGAGCGTGTCCATGCGCCTTGTGCGCTTGCTTCTTGTGATGATGGGCCTTTTGCTGATGGCCCTTTGAGGATTTGCCGCTCCTGGACGACTTGTGGCGTCTGCCATTGCGCTGCGTCTTGGAATGATGCGGCGCCAGTGGCACATTGATGCGACCATGCTTCACATGCTCCTTGGCCGCATCCTGTATGCTGTGTTGCTGATTGTGTTCCGCCAGCTGGCCGCCATGTGTGGCCACATGCTGACGCTTGTGATGCTGCCGCTGGTCCTGCTCCAGCTGCTGCGATGCCAGCACAGCGGCAATCAGGATTGTGGCAATTATAAACAACTATAAAACGGGGGGAAAAAAAAGAAATGTATCAAAACAAAATAGCTATGCAACATTTGGAATACCCGAATGGGCAGGATTGTGCGACACAGCTGCTATCTAAGCGGATAAGATAACAATGTCGGCCCCCTTTCACGAGCCCACTCACCGATTTCAGCATGATATTTCCACGGTTTTTCAGCTTTGCCTTACGAATTCTCGTTGTATAAACGCAGACGTTCGAATGTCGACTGCTGTCGGAAACTCTTCCGCTGGTGTTTATAACGTTATCTTTTATATGACCAGCGAGCAGCGCTCCAGCCCCTACATCATATATATACACACACACACACTTATATATATATATGTACTTTCATATGCGTCAGTTTGTGCGCGCGGCGTTTTATCGGCCATAAAGACCGAAATACAGAGTATGCTTATGGTTTATGTATTTTCTCATTTGATGTAACCAGATGTGGCTCTTGGCAGACATAGCTCAATCCTAACTAGAAATTACGTGACTTTCGGTCAAAGTCTATATACATACATATACTCAGATCATATTGATGGGTAAACATTTCTCCAGTTCTAAATTCAACGGAAGTTCCAACTGCTGAGGCACTTCATTCCTATATAATATAATCCAGCTGTCTGCTTATCTACACATACATACACACATACACACACACACACATATATATATATATATATAATCGGCACACTTATCTTTCATAGAACGCTTTGGTATACGATATGGCTCTATATATATATATATATATATTTTTAGTTTTCAGTGTAAAATATAATTGGATCATGAATTTGATTTTATTGCATATACTTGAAAATTAGAATTATACAAAATAAGTGTAAATAAAATACTAATTCACGATTTCTTGCTGCTGTTTTGTGTGTGTTTGTGTTAACTTTTAATCTATTGAATTGAAAGTTTATTTATTGATTTGAATATATATTTGTATATGTTTACGTGTGTTCGCTTGCTAAACGTAGTTAGTTAATTATATAAATATGTATGTATGTGTTTTGCTATCGAATGCTTCTTTGCTTCATATTCAACGTACATAAGTATACAAAAGGTTGAATATATGTATATATATATAAAATATTTGCTTACATAGAATATATATATAAGTGGGATTTACGCAAAGTGTTGGTTATAAGGAGAAATATATAATTTAGAGTAGAACAAAATTGGTTTTAGAAAACAAAATCGAAGTTAATATGCAGAAAACAATAGAAAATAAAAACATAAATATATAATGCAATATTTCACACAAAAATAAACTTAAAATTAATACAATATTTTTTTTTTTTTACTTTTTCGTAGTTTTAGTGTTTTTTTTTTACATTTTTTTTTTTACTGTTTTTTCTTCTTTGTTTAATTGGATTATATTGTGTGTTATAATTTACGACAAGTTGATAGCTTGCTCTTAACGTGGCTAACGCAATGTTGTTATTTCAATTGGGTCTTAATAGAAAAACTACAAAAGGAAAAAAATGTTGGCGTTGACAAAGTTTAAACCGATTTGTTTCGAATTTGAAGTTTGAATTTTCATTGAACACTTTTTGGGGTCAATATGTCGATAATAATGAGAAAATACTATTCTGATTGTTATTTCTTATAACGGCAAACACTACAGATATTGATAATAGTGGTAGATAAATTTGAATATAAGTAATCGGTTATTGGTTATTTGATTCTACAAATCGTTTGACCCTAAACTGTTGCCAACGTTATCAATTTCCTACTCCTCGATGGTGTAAAGGAAATAGTAGTTTTCATTATCGTTGATTGCGGCTGGCGGTGCTTTCGGTGATTTTCTCGATAGCGGTTCAAATCCCATGAATAGGAATGCCTCAATTAAACGATGACAATCCGGCTGATCCTTGCGCATTACCATGACAATGCCGTCTACCTCTAACTTATCCTCGGCAAACTCCAAGAGGGATGTGAAGGTCTCCTTGGAGCCGGCTGGGGCAAAATCAGTGGGGAAAGCGACGTATAATATGTTGTTGTTCGGGTTCAAAATCGACATCCAATTGGTAGACTGGTCTTCAGTGACGTGCAATTTGATGGAAATATGCACTGGCTGGTCATGCTGCAAGATCTGGCGCAACACCTCCTGGCAGTCATCCTCCGAGCATAACGAATGAATGTCATGCGACTCCGTGTCAGAGCATTCTGACGACGAAGACGACGAAGGTGACGATGCCCGAGAGCTGGCCTCGAACAAGCTGCCGCCAGCCGAGTCAACCGAAGACTTTCGGCTGTAGCCTATCGTAAATGAATTGAATCACAAATATGAATATACAATTTGAATAGATGTGTAGCCAGTTTATTTACCCGTTAAGAGCGATGCCCTATCGTGATCTGTTCTGTGGTGGACAGGGACATCAGGACCACCACAGAGGCCCTACGCCGAGAGAGATGCGGTAGGACTCAGTCGACATGTTCGTGGCGCAAGACGAAGTCGAGATGGTACGGAGCTTGCCATCGGCACATCCTGCAACTCCGCTATCATTAAAATCTCTTCTAACGAAGTTACTACTAAAGATTGGGTCGCTGTGAATGAAACGAAAATTAAAATACACAACCAACCATATTATAGATGCCAATTCAATATTCCATGATATACTGTTGTCGATTTTGTAGTAGTACATGGATTTTTATTAAATTTACCAAATCATTTTTAAAGGCAATTGGTGGCAAGGCACAACACAGCTTTACGACGCAATAGCTTATGGAAAACTGACATATGCACCCTCGAAGCGTGACTATTATCAGTAATGCCGAATCAAATTAAACACATTTTTTTTTATGACGCAGACTTGTTTTCAGTATGTTTATAAAGATAAGAAGCCGGTTATCTGCAATAAAATCGGCAAGCGCAAGCGATATGCCGATACAACAGCTGCCCGATAACGATAACAATTATCGCACAACCATGCCGGTGAAATACAACCCTGCTCGTATACAGAGTTTTTCACCACAGCATGGCGGCACAGGCAGCTGTCGCACGCACACACATACTCAATCGTGAACGTTTGCGCAAAGAAAAAACAGCGAAAATTACGGCGTCTGAAAAATACGCGAAAAATCCTTAATTTTTTGAAAATATATATAAAAATACACTTTTAAGATGTCGATTGGTGTACCTATTAAAGTTCTGCACGAGGCTGAGGGCCACATAATCACTTGCGAGACAATCACCGGCGAAGTCTACCGCGGCAAGCTCATCGAGGCGGAGGACAATATGAATTGCCAAATGACACAAATTACGGTTACCTATCGGGATGGACGCACGGCCAATCTGGAGAATGTTTATATACGCGGCTCGAAGATACGTTTTCTCATACTGCCCGACATGTTAAAGAATGCGCCGATGTTTAAAAAGCAGACCGGCAAAGGGCTTGGTGGGACAGCCGGTCGCGGAAAAGCGGCAATACTTCGAGCACAGGGTGAGTCAGGCATTCTAAGTGTATATATATACGTATGTTATCTCATGTACTAACGCGTCACGTTTTTCGACTACAGCTCGTGGTCGAGGCAGAGGAACTGGTCCTGCTGGCGGCGGTCGAGGCGGTGGTGGACCACCAGGTGCACCCGGTGGCGGCGGACGCGGCGCCTGGCAAGGCGGCCCTACAGGCGGACGTGGACGCGGCGGCTTGTAAGAGGCAACAACGGGAGGAGCACATTCTACTATATAATTTAAGGGAATTTAATCTTAGCGGGCGGGTCGCAAAACTAACATGTTGAAAATCTTATTATTTGTCAAGAAAACCAGACGGAGTATATGAAAATTGAATTTCAAAATGTGAACACTCGTCTTTATTTTGTTGCCTAGAGTAGAAGAAGGAAACCAACGCCAATTATGTGGACAAACAAATATAAAGATAAGATATATGTATATGTATAAAGTCGTCGCTTTTCGAATATTATACAAAGAGAGCAATTCCATGACAGTATTACAATCTGTATAGCTTGACTGTCGACGGATAGCTCTCTTCATTTCGCTATTCGCAAGTTTGGTTAGCTTGAAAAAGCCAAAGGACAATGGACATTTTCCAGACAGAAAACAGGTTATATGGTGTTAGATTCGGTTAGTTTGGGCAACGTCGAATATCATACAAAGAGAGCAATTCCATGACAGTATTACATTTGTTACTGGACTGTCGACGGACAGCTCTCTTTATTCACTTATTCGCTTTTGGGTACGATTTGATGGTTATTGAACATTTAGTTCAGCGGGGACGGCACACAAACATTGAGCAAGTAGTAAGAATGTTGTAGCCGGAAAAAACCGACTGCACGATACCCTGTTCACAGTTTACCAGTCGGATAAGTCAGGCGAGAGTTTGCTAGCGGACCGACTAATACATTAACTACAAAGCTTCTAGCTTCAAAATTATGTACGGACAGACGGTCAGCTGGGCGTGCGTCGCAATCAGAAAATCAATATACTCTCATTTTCGTAGGGTACAGAATATACATATACATATAATATACTAAAGCGTTTGTTGGGCCGGCACAGACAAAAATATGTGAATATTTCTGTATATTGATGCCAATTAAACAACAAACTGCGCACTTGGCAAAGCGTTTCGAATTGAGAGCGTTTCGTAGGCGTTCGCTCCGAGTAGTATAGAAACCCCTGGCAGGAGAAGAGGGGGGTGCGCAGTATGGCAGCGCGAGCCATGTTAATTTAATGAGTGCAATTCAACCCCCACCCCACCCCATACCTCAGAAATTCAATCGACGGCACGTGCATGCGCGCAAGTGCAGTTAAATGACTTTCAATTAAGCAGGAAATATGCAATATGTTAACCACCTACCCGAACTGATCCTCTGATATGGGAGACTCTGGCTGTTGCTGCTGCAGCTGCGATTGCATGTTAGCCAATGCCATCTCACTCACTTATATTACAAGTATATATATATATGCGTGTGTGTGTGTGTGTGCTTGTATATATGTATTTATCACAGTTACGTTTATGTTATGCCTAGCTGTATGTCTCTTTTGTGTGCCAATTCCGTTATCACAGCTCTGTTTACACTTAGACAAAGTTCTAGAAGTTTACATCGAAAAGGCTTGCGAAAGGTATTTGCCTCTCTCCCGCTCTCTTTGTGTGTTTGTTTTGTTTACAACACGAAAGATTTGTGCTTGTATTTGACTTTGTTTAACCGTTTGCCGAAGCGCAGCGTTTAGCGTTTGCCAGCCAACTGACGGCATCTCAATGGCGGTGGCATCATTTATTTCAAAAAAAATTTAGTTGCTCCCCCTACACACAAACACACACACACATTCACACATACGTAAATGCATGCTGTATATGTGTGTGTATGCTACTACTACTTAGTTGGGGTTATAGGCACTATCCGGCGGCGCCAGAATAGAAACAAATAAACGGGTACAGTTTAGCTTTTAAAGAAAAACCGCCTTTGGGCTTGTTTTTCGAAATCTTGTTTCGAAGGTTAAACGTTGCCCCTACGAATGTTCCAATAGTATTTTGCGGTTGGCGAAAGAGCAAAGGCAAACAAGTGGCAAAAGGTAGCAAGAAGAAGAAAAAAGAAAGAAAAACTAATTACATTTGCATTGCTGATGCCATTTTATGTCTATGCAAACATATATGCCCGCACAGAGATATTGAAAAACAGTACTATGAAATTGTTGTAGCTGTTTTTTTTTCTCTGAGTGCTTTGTTTACCAGACAAATTGAATTATGTGCCACGAAAAATACGCTATTTATATAAAACATATATTTGTAATGTGTTTTTGTCGTGCTTTACTAAACTCATGAATAATAAATGCGATCGGCACGTGCGCCACTTAAAAAAAAAATAGCAAAACAGCAAATATGAAATGGCTATAAATAGCAAAAGAAAAGAAAACGAAAAAAAAGCGATAACGATAAAACGCACAGCCAATCGATGACTGTCTGACGTGCTGTCTACGGTGTCGTTCGCATGTATGTGTGCATGTGAATGCATGTGTATTTGTACAACACAAGTGGTCTCCAGCACACACGCATATGCAAATACATGTTTCAAAGGCCATCGGCTGATTTCTATGGAAATACCGCTATTATACGCGTGAATTCTTGGGGGCAAATATGCGAATCGGCTCACGTTTTACACAACGCATTGAAATTCGCTCAAATTCAATATTAATAGGCATAATCACATAACTATTTAAGCATGTGACAGCATCAGACAGACGTGATATAAAACAACAGGGCGACTATACAGTTAATTATTTCTCTTGCACATTTCACTTTAGCCCACAATCTAGGTACGACAGCTATGTATGTACATACTATATACGTAACTGCAAATGGGTCGCTTGGGTAAACATGTCAAATGGCTGAAAACTGCTGCATAAAGCTGTCTGTAAATATGCTTAAACGTTAGATAGAATGCTGGCTCAAAGCAAACATGTACCGCAATAAGAAGCAATAAAACACATATGCAAAGACACAATTTGAGAGATTTAAAACAAAAACAGTCAACAAATAAACACAGTCATTCGTTGTTTTTTTTTTTTTTTTTATTATTGCTGTAGCAATGACAAAAGCAGGCAGCGATAAGATGGTTGACAGCTTTATGATGTTTATCACGTTGATAAGATAACGCGAAAACGTGTAAAGTGGCAGAAATGCAGCCTCCTTCAATTTTATGAGCTTCTTATTAAACAGGTTCTAGCATATTTTCTATTGAAAGCTCTTCGTTTCATTAGTCGATTGACCCAATATTGTATTGTTCTGGCAACTCTTGCAACGCATACAAACGCGCGAATATACATATACATATGTATACACATACACTCACACAACCATTAACGACGCTTACTTGCCACACAGCTGAGTTGCATGGCGAGTGGAATTTTCCATTGTTTGTCAATACATGAATTGCCCGTTTGCTTGGTTGTGTGTGGGAATGTGTATGTGTGTTTTGTTTGTGACGTAAGGTAGGCGAACAGTGGCTACTGCTGGGCCAAAAACCGCGCCACGAAGAGGCAGAGTTGCACTCAATGGAAGAAGCTTCCAGCCGGATGACAAACAACAACAACAACAACAATGGGTAAATATAAATACGCAGCGAAAAAAAACCGGTCGCAGTTTCATTCTGCTTGGTCTTATTAGATATTTCCTAGCTCTACTGCAACTGAGAAACGTCTCTTTACAAAGTCATAAGGGTCGAACTTTTTTTTTATTATTATTATTTTTGTTGTTTATTTTGGCAGCGAGATAACATACCAGAGTGCAAACAATGCTGACGAGGCTGCTCGTCGGATACGGACACTCAGATAAGGGCGACCAATAAAAGTCATAATGTTTACCGCGTAATAACTGTAATTTCTAGCAAAACTCCGTTTGTTTTCTCGCAGCCGTCTAGAAAGTTCCAGTCGCCGCATACAATACAGTTGCATTGCAAGACAAGTGCAAGCAGCACACTGCATAAACGGCACTTGTCAAAAGTCAAGAGAATCGAGCAAATTAAAAGCGAATTACAGTAAAAGTAAGCAAGTCATACGAAAATACACACTCACTCACACACACACAGAAACAAAATTTTCTATGTACATACATACATGTTAAAAATATAAAATTAGAAGCGTATGAAAACGGTTAATTTGTAGTTGTGTGTGCACACAACGAGGTTACCAGATTATTTAAAGCATGCCAATAAAACAATTAAAGTTGCCTTCAGCTGCTTTGCTCACAATTTTAGCAATCAAGCTTTAATTGATGCGCGCATGAACAGCCAATAAACATTTATCAGCGTTCATTTTCTCTTATATATTATTCGTCTCCATTTCAGTTGTGTCTTGGGGTGAGAGCCACAAACAGGCGCACAAGATGGCTGCTACGAAGAGAAAAACAAAATAAAATACGCAAAATAAAGTAAAACAATTACATTTCAAAAAAACGAACATCCATGGAATATATTTTTTGAAATCAATTATTTACTTTACCAACGGACCGTTTTTGCACTTATCTCATTTCTTTTTTGGTTATGTGGACTCTCGCACACACACACATGCATCTGCATACGAGTATATATGATTTTAAGAATGTATGCGCATATGTGTGTACGTATGTATGTATGTTTGCATATACCTCGTACATGCTTCATATTACAGTTACACCACCACCGATACGAATTTTGTTAGCTAATTACACTAAAAACTATTGCACTATAATGAACTTGCTATGTATTTATTGGCAACCAACAAACTACATAATATATATGCCACCAATTGGATTGGAACCGTACACTATATTCCATTTCCTTTTTTATCATTCACTACAAAATCGATTTTTGCACTATTTCTTTGTATGGCACCTTGGAACCATTACTTACAGTTTATTATTCATGTTTGATGGCATTTTTACACTTAATGGTTGCAACTTAACGCACAAAGAAACAAAAATTTGGTTTATTGGTGAAAAATTAGCTCTGGCTTAACGAGAAGCGTTTGCGAAGTCTGCACTTGCGATCTGATTAGTTTGACTGCTGAATTCTATATGCAATGAACGGAACCCAAACCAATACATGAAACCTTCGATTTATACGATTGTTTTCAGGGGCGATAGTTACGTATTAAAGTAACACTCGATGAATTGGCAAGCGTTTTCACTATCATCGGATATCGATAAGACTAACGCGAGTTTGTATTGCTTGAGCGACAATTGTTCAAAATCAAAGTAGTTTCTTATTTAATGTTAACTTCAATGATTGAAAATAGGATTTATAAGAATATTTTTTAATTGCTTAGTCTTATTTGGTTTTCGTCAGGGCCAATAGAATAACAAAGTAAGCATCCATCTGTTCAGTGAGAACGTTTTGTTTTTTTTTTTGTATCGATATCTCCCTCTTGTGTAGTCGATAGCGATTATATACTTAGTGCAGCATTGCCCGTCAACTTTGTGCGTTTTGATTTAGGGGAAAGAAAATTTAATCTGTGAAATACGCCTAAATCCGTGTTCCTTTTAACTAAAAAATCATGAGCGCCTTTCCAGGAACGTTCGCGTTTGACGAATATGGCCGGCCTTTCATTATTTTGCGCGACCAGGAGCAGCAAAAGCGCATCACAGGCACAGATGCCATCAAGGTAAATAAAAATTTAAATTTTTTCTAGGGTTTTTAGAAGGATATTGACTAACTCTAGTTGTCAATATGGGGTTTTAGGACACTCAAAGATATTATAGCTCGAATAAAGCTTCTAGACAGCGCAAACAATGACGCATCGTATGCCGAACGTTCCAGATGTTCTTTACTGCCGGCATTTTTCATAGGTAAAATAAAACCTGAATGCAATTATGGGCAAACAATCATATTATATGATGTAAATTTACCTTATGGCGGCAGCATGCACTTTTCTACAATTTAATATAGAAATGCAAACATTTGTCGAACAATTTGTGACGTCACGTTCATTTTGAGGTTAAAACGCCGCACAGATGTTCCCTGTGCGCCGGCTGAGTCACGCGCTTGAATATTACCTACCATGTAATTTATAAATTTATAACATGTTTCCTTTTGTTTGCAGACGCACATTATGGCGGCGCGCCAGATTGCCTCAACGCTGAAGACATCGCTGGGACCGAAAGGTCTGGACAAGATAATGGTCAGTCCCGATGGCGATGTGACGGTGACCAATGATGGTGCCACCATTATGAAGCTAATGGAGGTGGAGCATGAGATCGCCAAACTGATGGTGCAGCTGTCGCAGTCGCAGGACGATGAAATTGGCGATGGTACCACCGGTGTGGTTGTTCTGGCTGGCGCTTTGCTCGAGCAGGCGGAGGGTTTGATCGATCGCGGCATTCATCCCATACGTATTGCTGATGGCTTCGAGCTGGCCGCACAGTGCGCCATCAAGCAGCTAGACGCTATTGCTGAACCGTTTCCCGTCGATCCCAAAAACAAGGAGCCGCTCATTCAGATCGCCATGACAACGCTGGGCAGCAAGATTGTGAATAAGTGTCATCGCCAGATGGCTGAAATGGCTGTCGATGCGGTGCTTAATGTGGCGGACATTGAAAAGAAGGATGTCAACTTTGAGCTCATCAAAATTGAGACCAAGGTGGGCGGACGCATGGAGGACTCCATGCTGGTCAAGGGCGTCATTGTGGACAAGACCTTGAGCCATTCGCAAATGCCCAAGGAGCTGAAAAATGTCAAGCTAGCTATACTCACCTGCCCCTTTGAGCCGCCGAAGCCCAAGACCAAGCATAAGCTCGATGTTACCTCTGCGGAGGATTACAGGGCGCTGCGCGAATACGAACAGGAGAAGTTTAAGCTTATGGTCAAGCAGGTAAAGGATGCTGGCGCCACTTTGGCCATTTGCCAATGGGGCTTCGACGATGAGGCCAACCATTTGCTGCTGCAGCAGGAGTTGCCCGCTGTGCGCTGGGTGGGTGGTCCAGAGATTGAGCTGATTGCCATTGCAACTGGTGGTCGCATTGTGCCACGTTTCGAGGAGCTGACACCCGAGAAACTGGGCTCCGCTGGCCTGGTCCGTGAGATGGGTAGGTTATGGCTAATTTCCTAGTTAAACGTTCTTAATTTCATGCAATCCTTTTTCAGCTTTTGGCACGTCCAAGGACAAAATGCTGGTGATCGAGGAGTGCAAGAACTCCAAGGCTGTCACAATTTTCTTGCGCGGTGGCAATGCCATGATCATAGCCGAGGCCAAGCGTTCCATACACGATGCCATCTGTGTGGTGCGATCGCTGGTAAAGGATTCGCGTATTGTTTATGGTGGCGGTGCTGCCGAAATTAGCTGCTCCCTGGCTGTGGCCAAGGAGGCCGATCAGCTATCTACACTGGAGCAATATGCATTCCGCGCCTTTTCTGTCGCCCTGGAGAGCATACCACTGGCTCTGGCAGAGAACAGCGGTCTGCATCCAGTTGAAACACTGTCGGAGCTTAAGGCCAGTCAGGTGGCTGAGAAGATGCCCAGTCTGGGCGTTGATTGCATGTTGACTGGCGATTCGGACATGAAGAATCACAATGTTGTCGAGTCTCTGCACTCGAAAAAGCAACAGATTCTATTGTCGACACAGCTGGTCAAGATGATACTCAAGATCGATGATGTGCGCTCCAACAACAGCGGCATGTAGAGGATGTCATCCCAAACACACACATCAGAACTCACACGCATATATACACACACACACACACACACACACACACACCACTTAGCTTTGCTTTGCTCTCGCTGCTTCATAAACATAATATAAATATATATATATTTGTATAACTCTGTATTAATTGTTTACTTTTATTAATCAACACACTTCTTTGGAAAAGAAACAAAAATCAAGAACAACTAAAATACAATTAACTAAAGATTCAACAAAACTTGTTTTAATTGGGTAGGCGTCCGTCGGTAGACGTAGGCAATGTTGTAGCTGTGTGTCAGCCAATCTAGCAAGAGGACATGCTCTTGCATATGTCCGTCTCTCAGTCCCTATATCATATAGCTGCCATAGGAGCGATCGGTCGAAAAGTAGGTTTATTATTGAGAAACTTTTTTGGTTTTCAAGATATCTTGACCAAAATCGGCATTTATTAGTTATACTATATGCCCTACAATTATGCAAAGTCTTATTTACATCGGACCACTATATCATATAGCTGCCATAGGAACTATCGGTCGAAATTGAAGTTTTTGCATGGAAAACTTTTGTGTGTTTTCAAGATATTTTAACCAAACTCGCTTTGAATCTTCGGCGTGCCGTAGATATTCTTACTTTCTCGTTTTCTTTAAATTTAAAAATATTTTCCCTAAAACTTTAAATTTCCATAACTCTGTAACTTTTTGGAATTTGGTCTGTAATTCGTGCTCGCAATATGGCATCTAAATTTTCTACAATTTCTCTAGAATCCAGCCTTTGTTGCCCCAGTTCTGTTTAAAGCATTTAAAGCCGCAACTCGTACTAGCTCGAAGCAATGCTGGACCATTAGCTAATGAGAGTTTGAACAACGGGTTGTCTTTTTGTGATTGCAGTAACGCTGAGAGCCTTACCACATATCTCAGATACACACAAAGGAAAATCACCTTTGTGGAATTTAATTAATACTGGATAAAAAAGAACATTTCATCTTGCTCCATTGAACAGTCACTTACGCAGTCGATGGCGATGCCGATGGCGTTGTCGATGTCGATGTCGATGTCGAGGAATGCATTTCAATTTAACCTGGCCCACACAAATGGCTCCTGCTGCTGCTGTTGCTCCAAAAGCTGGTGAGTTAATCAAGGCATCGGTAATTTCCAGAAGAGTGTGAAGTGTTGACCGAGACTCAATGGAGTGTGTTAAATGCGCTGTGCACACAGCTGGCCACCGACCAGTTCGCTAGCCACTCCATCAAGCCCACAATGAATTGCGCACAATCTTTTGGCACTGGCCGAATGCGGCTGTGTGGTTTGGGTGGAAAGAACACTGAGGAATCCCCAGGACTACGACGCGTTGGCTTCGCCCCGGTTAAGTGTTTTACAATGCTCTCAGCAAAGCGCACATCATTCATGTCCAACGCAGGCTGGCAATATTTACCCAAGGCCAAGCTAGGCTCGACTCATGTCGACCACGCAGCCCATCTCTCAATGGACTACAGCCATAAACGCATACATGTTCGAGTTCATATATGTGCATTTGTGTGCGAGCATCTGGGAGTGTGTCAGTTCAACTGACAGTCTTGCCATTGGCAGTCTCTCAATGCATATGAATCAAGTAGAGGTAATTGAAAATCAAAGCCAGTAAAAATCTAACTAGGTTTTTTTTTTATCTCCAGTCAAGAAATCAGCAATCCGATTTTCTGCTCTTAGCACATTTGCACAGTAGTCGGCTATATGACATTGCCTTTGCACTTTTGCAGAGTGTGTAAGGAAGCAAACTAATCTCTCAGAATTGTAACAAATATGGATAAGACCACATACAGCTGCTTCGACTGAATTATACTGAATTAAACACATATATGTGAAATTATGTACTTACCCCAGAAGTTCACGTACACACGGACGATTATTTAATTATCATTTACCAGTAATAGGAAGCCGGACTGAAAGCACAAAAGATAGCTGGTTAGAGTAAAAGCAGAAGAAGGAAAGCAAATAGAATGAGCCGAAGGGACAGGGGAAAGCTTGCAAAGGGAGTTATTGCCCGAGTCCGAGTAGAGATAAAGCTTATTAGATTGCCAACATAAGTTGTTAATATAACACTTATGGCCAAAGCATAATGAGAATTGCATACAATTTTTCATTTACG